TCACAGCAAGAAGGTCTCTGGTTTGAGTCTCGGCTGGGTCAGTTGGTGTTTCTGTGTGGAGTTTGCATGTTCTCCCCGTGTTGGCGTGGGTTTCCTCCGGGTGCTCCGGTTTCCCCCACAGTCCAAACACATGCGCTATAGGGGAACTGATCAACTACACTGGCCGTAGTGTGTGTGTGTGTGTGTGTGTGTGTGTGTGTGTGTGTGTGTGTGTGTGTGTGTGTGTGTGTGCGAGTGTGTGTGTGTGTGTGTGAATGAGTGTGTGAATGAGTGTGTATGGGTGTTGCCCAGTACTGAGTTGTGGCTAGAAGGACATGTAAAACTTTGTAAAACATTTGCTGGAATAGTTGGTGGTTCATTCCGCTGTGGCGACCCCTGATGAATAAAGAGATCAAGCTGAAGGAGAATGGATGTTTGCATTTTCTTGTAATGTTATTTTTATCACTGCAGCATTTTAGCAGGTTGCTATGCAGTTGCTATAGTGTTGTCTTACAGTTGCTATGAAGTGTTTAAGCTGGTTTTTAAGGTTTTGCTAGTGTTGCTTATGAAGATGCCCTAAAGAGATTTAGCACGTTGCTAAGGAGTTTCTAGGTTGTTGCTATGCAGTGTTTTAGCAGGTCACTAAGGAGTTGCTATGCAGTGCTACAGCAGGTTGCTAAGGAGTTTCAGCAGGTTGCTAAGGAGTTTCTAGGCAGTTGCTATGCAGTGTTTCAGCAGGTTGCTAAGGCATTGCTAAGCAGTTGCTATGCAGTGTTTCAACAGGTTGCTAAGGAGTTACTATACAGTGTTTCAGGATGTTGCTAAGGCATTGCTATGCAGTTGCTATGCCATGTTTGAGCAGTTTTTCATGATGTTGCTAGGCAGTTACTATGCAGTGTTTGACCAGATTGCCTAGACAGTTGCTATGTAGTTGCTATGCAGCATTTCAGCAGGTTGCTAAGGTGTTGCTATGCAGTGTTTGAGCAGGTTGCTAAGGCACTGCTATGCAGTGATTCAGCAGGTTTCTAGGGTGTTGCTAGGCAGTGTTTGAGCAGGTTGCTAAGATATTGCTCTGCAGTTGCTATACAGTATTTCAGCAGTTCGTTATGGTGTTGCTAAGCAGTTGCTAGGCAGTGTTTGAGCAGGTTGCTAAGGAGTTGCTAAGTCCATGTTTGTGTGTTGCTGGTGTTTTCAGAGCTGCTGCTCCTCTGTGAGTGTGTTCGCTGGTGTCTCTGGCATCGTGGTGTCCATCAGCCGTGAGCAGCTCATCTCAGATGCAGAGAGACAGCAGAGGAAACAGCGACGCTTGGCTGAGGCCGATCTCTGCCTCTGATTTGATAAATGGACAGTTATTGCTGTGGCAAATTGTCCCGAAAGCAATTGGATCCCATCAGCACTGTGATAAAACCAGCGTTATTGATCTGCGAGAGCTGATATAGTGAATACATCAGCCAGAGACACAGAGAGAGACACGTGTGTGTGTGTGTGTGTGTGTGTGTGTTTCAGGAGCTGCATGTGTGCACTGATTCTGTTCTGATCAAGAAGGGCTCTGGTTCGAGTCTCGGCTGGGTCAGTGGTTGTTTCTGTGTGGAGTTTGCATGTTCTCCCCGTGTTGGTGTGGGTTTCCTCCGGGTGCTCCGGCTTCCCCCACAGTCCAAACACATGTGCTATAGGGGAACTGATCAACTACACTGGCCGTAGTGTATGAGTGTGTGTGTGAGAGAGAGAGAGAGAGAAGGAGTGTGTTTGGGTGTTTCCCACATACTGGGTTGCAGCTAGAAGGGCATCCGCTGTGTAAAACATATGCTGGATTAGTTGGTGGTTCATTCCGCTGTGGCGACCCCTGAAATAGAGACTAAGCCGATGTAAGATGAATGAATGATTGATTAGGCTGATTCACATGTAATAAACGATGACAAGCGCAGATAAATACAACAGAGCAAAGACAGACATGACGTACACAGAGCTGAGTGGTTTTCTGAGCAGTCGTGCAGTCTTCACACACAGACGCTGCATGATCAGATGCAGTACATCACTCGAGAGTCTTCACTCGATTAGTAATTACAAATCATCTTTGATAAAGCTTTGAGTATCATCATTTATTGTGCTTTTAAACTCTCCTAAAATGCTTAATAGTCTCACACACACACTCTCTCTCTCTCTCTCTCTCACACATACTTTCTTTCTCTCTCTCTCTCTCTCTCTCTCTCTCTCACACACACACACACACACACATTTTCTCTGAGGGTCTAAAGGTTATTGGTGGTGATTTTCTTCACTAATGTCATTACAGTCGTCCGTCCCGAGACACCGAGAGCATCACCATACACATACATCACTGTGTGTGCGTGAGAGAGAGAAAATGTGTGTGTGTGTGTGTGTGTGTATGTGTGCGCGTTCAAGTGTGTGTGTGTGAAAGAGAGAAAGTGTAAGTGTGTGTGTGTGTGTGCGTTCAAGTGTGTGTGTGTGAGAGAGAGAAAGTGTGTGTGTGTGTGTGTGTGTGAGAGAGAAAGTGTGTGTGTGTCAATTCAGTTCAATAATTGCTTTATTGGCATGATAATTGTACAAATGTATTGCCAAAGCAGTTATAAAGCTAGATAAAAATTAAAGAACATATGTATTTAATAAAAAAACACCGTAAACAATAGTAGTAGTAAAAAAAAAGATATATACATGTTATAATTAAATAAAATTATAAATAATAAGTCATATTATTCAATATATCTCATTATTATTCAATATATCAACTCATTCATATCATATTATTCATTTACACATTATTTTACATTTAACAATCAACATTTTAGGACAATTTAACAGTTAAGTGTGTGCATGTGTGTAAGAGAGAGAGAGAGAGAAAGAAAGAGTGTGTGTGTGTGTGTTTGTGAAGCAAATGTGAAGCGTGTCATTTAAACACACGTCCGCTTATTGTGTGTCATTTGAACAGTACAGTCATCATCTTATGATTTGATGATGTTTGTCGTTTATCATGTATGAAAAATGATTGTGCTCGTTTTTGTTGCTGTGTGTGTTGTGTAAAAGTAATCAAGTGTGTGTGTGTGTGTGTGTGTGTGTGTGTGTGTTATGTGGTTAAATCTAATTGGCTGATAAGAATAAATAAAGATGTGTGTGTGCGTGGGAGTGTGCGCGTGAGTGTGTGTTTGTGCGTGTGCGTGCGTGTGTGTGTGCATGTGTGTGTGAGTCGTCCTGATGCCTTTGAAACGTTCTGCCTCCACAAGGACAGCATGTGTATTAGGCATTGTGTGGTAAACTTCATCTATCATTCTTTCAGGGTTTTATCAACGTTATGATCAAACGTTTTCCTAACATTAACTGAGCATTTCCTTAATTTCGTCTGCTATTTAATAGTGTATTTATTATAAGATGTTTCCAAAACAGCATTTATTCATCCTTTTTTTGTTTTGTCCTGAAACCTTTGAATTGATTTACGTTTAACATCTAACGTTTTATAAATGTTTCAATGTGAACGTATAAGGAACATTTAAATTTGATGTTTACTTTGTTTGCAAGAAGACGAAATGTCATGTTTTCTTAACAATTTTATGATCAAAAAACAGGTTATTTTATATCGTAAAATAGATGTTGTTTCTATAAGAACGTTCAGAGAGCATTCAATAGTAACGTTTCTATAATGTTTGCCGAACATTAAAATGAAACACTCCCTTAACGTTCACATAACCTAAAAAACATAATAATTTCTGTCACAGTTTCAATAACTACATTCAAAAAACATTTATAGGTAATGAATGAATTTTGATTTAAAATAAAAATTTATCAGCATTTTAAATATTACTATTGTTTCAGTTAGAATGTTTAAATTTAGAAAAGAATGGAAAGCTTCATTGACGTATTTAACGTTAATAAAACGTTTTTAAACAAATATAATGTTTTTTGAAATATAAGTGTCGTTGTTTCAATAAGAACATTTTAAAGTAACATTTCCATAATGTTTGCCAAACAGTAAAATTAAAAATTGATTCTTAACATTTATGTAACCTAAAAATAACGTTTTTAAATTTTGTAAAACTAAACGTTGTTTCAGTGAAGTAATGTTTTCATAATATTTTTAAAATAAAGTGGAAGGCTTTTTTAACATGTAAAAAAACGTTTATTAAAATTATAGAAATAAGTGTTATTGTTTCTCCAGGAACGTTCACATTTCCATAATGTTTCAGCACAGTGCATTGAAATGCTTTCCTAACATTTATATAACCTAAAAAATCATTTACTCATTTTGTGAACGCTTAAAGAAAATTTGTAAATATCTGTAATGTTATTAGAATAAATTGAAATCTTCCGTAACATGTGTATAACATTAAAAAAAGCGTTTCGTTAATGTTATTAAAATCAGTGTTACTGTTTCATTTAGATTGTTGAAAGAATATTCAATAGTAACGTTTCCATAACATTTGCCGTACAGTCAAATTAAACACTTTAACATTTATGTAACTTAAAAACTAATAAAAATCTTGTTATTGTTATTGTTTCAATAATATTTAAAATATTATTGAAATACTTAAAATATTAAGCAATATTTAAAAGTAACGTCTCCATCAATTTTTCCAAACGTTGAAATTAAACGCTTTATTACATTTATATAACACAAACATAACGTTTATTGATTTTGTTATAAAACTAAATGTTGTTTCAATAAAGCGCATTTTATAATTAACGTTACCATAATATTTTCAGAATAAAGCGGAAGGCTTCCTTAACTAGTATATAACATAAAAACACTTATTAACATTATAAAATAAGTGTTATTGTTTCAACATCAATGTTCAGAAAGCATTCATGAGTAACGTTTTTAATAATGTTTGCGGCACAATAAAATTAAACGCTTTCTTAACATTTATATAACCTAAAAAAAACATTTATTCACATTGTGAGCGTTCAAAGAACATTCATATGCAACATTTCTGTAATGTTTCTAGAATAAAATTAATTCTTCCTTAAAATGTAAAAAAGCGTTTTGTAAACGTTATAAAAGTAGCTGTTTTATTAAGATCGTTGAAAGAACATTTAAAAGTAACGTTTTTATAACATTTGCCAAGCAATAAAATTTAATGCTTTCTTAATATTTTTATAACCTAAAAGCTAATAAAAACCTAAAAAAAAAATCTTCCTTAACTTGTAACGCAAGAACGATTTTTAACATTATAAAAATAAGCGTTCATGAGTAACGTTTTTATAAGGATTGCCGCACAGTAACATGAAATGCTTTCTTAACATTTACATAACCTAAAGAAAACATTTATTCACATTGTGAGCGTTCAGAGAACATTCTCCGCAACATTTCTGTAATGTTTTTAGAATAAAATGAAATCTTCCTTAACATGTAAAAAACGTTAAAAAAAGCGTTTTGTAAACGTTATAAAAGTAGCTGTTATTGTTTCGTTAAGATCGTTGAAAGAACATTTAAAAGTAACGTTTTTATAACATTTGCCAAGCAATAAAATTTAATGCTTTCTTTTTTTTTTTTTTTTTTTTTTTTTAATAATAATAAAGAAATAAATAAACATACCAACAAAATTTAATGCTTTCTTAATATTTATATAACCTAAAAGCTAATAAAAACCTAAAAAAAAAAATCTTCCTTAACTTGTAACGCAAGAACGATTTTTAACATTATAAAAATCAGCGTTTATGAGTAACGTTTTTAATAAGGATTGCCGCACAGTAACATGAAATGCTTTCTTAACATTTACATAATCTAAAGAAAACATTTATTCACATTGTGAGCGTTCAGAGAACATTCATACGCAACATTTCTGTAATGTTTTTAGAATAAAATGGAAATCTTTCCTAACATGTTTATACTGTTAAAATGTTTTTTTAATGTTATAAAAATAACTTGTTTCAATAAGAACGTTAAAAGAACATTTTAATGTAACGTTTCCATACTGTTAGCCACAATAAAATCTTAACATTTATATAACAGTGGGTTTTTTTCGTTATAAAGTGCTCTCACTATATAGAGCATGTACTGAAATAACGTTTTATCAACGTTAGAAAAGAGTTCTTAAAAACACAAACCAGCAGTAATGACGTCTGGCGATCTCTGACACCACACACACACGCACACGCTCGCTCGCAGGACGGTTGCCATGGCGAGTGTGTGTTATCGTCCCGCGTCTCTGCTGGATCTATGCTAACCTGATTTGGTTGCTCCAGTGTTGCAGCAGCGTAATGAAATTAGCGTGTGTCTAATGGTGCAGAGAGAGCCGTCTCACCCTCCATCCGTCCGTCTGTCTGTCTCTCCGTCTTCATCCCTCGCTCCCTCACTCTTTGTCTCTGCTGTATCTGCTTTCATCTGTCTGTTGATTATGGTCTGTTTTTCTGTTTTTCAGCCATCAGGAGGAAGGAGAACGGCTGGTATGATGAAGAGCATCCGCTCGTCTTCCTCTTTCTGGGCTCGTCCGGAATCGGTAACATTAATAAATCCTCTTGTTTATGTTTAAAGTCATCCAGACCTCTTTATTTTATTACATTTGAGGTTATTACAACCCTTTTTTCACAGCGTACACTGCAAGCAAGTTTTAATTCTTATTTTTATATATGTTATATACAGTTAAAGTCAGAATTTTTCGCCCCCTTTGAATTTTGTTTTCTTTTTGAAATATTTCCCAAATGATGTTGAACAGATTGAGGAAATGTTCACAGCATGTCTGATAATATTTGTTCTTCTGGAGAAAGTCTTAATTGTTTTATTTCGGCTAGAATAAAGGCAGTTTTTAATTTTTTAAACACCATTTTAAGCTCTATATTATTAGCCCCCTTAAGCTATATATTATTTTTGACAGTCTCCAGAACAAACCATCATTATACAATGACTTGCCGAATTACCCTAACCTGCCTAGTTACCCTAATTACCCTAGTGAAGCCTTTACATGTCACTTTAAGCTGTATAGAAGTGTCTTGAAGAATATCTAGTTTAATATTATTTACTGTCATCATGACAAAGATAAAATAAATCCGTTATTAGAGATGAGTTATTAACACTATTATGTGCAGAAATGTGTTGGTGAAATCTGCTCTCCAATAAACAGAAATTAGGGAAAAATAAACAGGAATTCTGACTTCAACTGTATATATATTTTACTATTGTTCCTTTTCATGTGCAAGTGTTACACACACCAAACCTCACACTTTTATTATCAGAGGCTGGATATAATATCCAGGTATAAAGGTGATATTTCGCATAATAAATGCACTTTAAAACAAGCTAAATAATCTGCCAATGGGGAATCAAAATAATCTAATGCTGTGTTCACACCAGACGCGGAACGCGTGGATCAAGCGCGCTATTCCCGCGTAAATAGCGCGTGAACATTTGAGGTTACTCGTTTCATTCGCGCATCAAACCCCACGCCATTCGCGCGTCAAATTCACTTCAGAACAGACGCGGATTCACGTGATGAGCAGGGCTTCTGTCAGCTCGGTGAATCTAGCTTCATAGCTAAATGGCGAACATGGATTTTATGAAGAAATACGTTTAGAGCCGTGTCTGAGTCCACTACATCCTTTCAGAGGTGCATCCAGCTCTGTGAGCTCATAGACTCCTCCAGAAACTGAACCTGGATGATGGAGGCTTTCAGCGGTGCTTCTGACTGAGCCCAGCCCAGTTTGATGAACTTCTTGTCGGTGTCTGCTGGAGGATTTCCCCTGGGTCACCGACAACAGGCGATACGTCACAATCACGCCCCACAAAAGCAAGCTCTTGATTGTTTAACGCGGCGCGAATGTCCACTAAAGTTCAGATTTTCGAACTCGAGTGATTCGCGCGAAACGCGCATTAAGCATGTCAAACGCGCAGAACACTCAATTCGCGCCACGCCATTCACGCCATGCGCACCGCGCAATTCTCGTCATTCGCGCCACGCCATTCGTGCGTAACGCATGTCTATTCGCGCGTTTGCATTGACTTAACATGTAAATCACTCGCGCTTGACGCGCGTTCTGCGTCTGGTGTGAACGCAGCATTAGGGTCGTTCTGAAACAGGGATTAAGATTGTTACAGTGTTGCTCTTTGCTCTTGGTGCGGTTCGCTTTCACACTGCAGATGACAGATCCTAGTTTTTGGTAACAGTCTGGATGATCCTTTTCTTCTTTGGTCTGGAGCACACAACGTCCATTTCTCCCAAAAAATATCTAAAATACTGTTTCATCTGAGCACAGTACATGTTTACACTGTGTGATGGTGCATCTCAGACGCCTCCAAGCCCTGAGAGGTCAATGGTGCTTCTGGACACTGTTAACATAGGGCTTCCTCTTGGCACAGTACAGTTGTGACTGGCGTTTGTGGATGTGACTCTGTATTGTGGTGCTTGTCAAAGGTTTAGCGCAGTAGTGCTGAGCCCATGTGCTGATCTGGCTTACAGATAAATGAGGATTCCTGATGCAGCGCCCCCTGAGGGACCGGAGGTCACGGTTGTTCAGCATAGGCTTGCGCTCTTGTCCTTTACGCACTGAAACTCCTCCAGATTCCTTCAATCTTTAATGCTGTTCTGCACTGTTGAAGGTGGAATATCCTCATGTCTTCCTCTCTTTCTCTGAGGAACATTGTGTTCACACATCTCACTCATTTTTTCTCATATTTGTTGGCAAACTGGCGATCCTCGGCCTGTCTCTGCTCCTAAAGGACTAGAGCTTTCTTGATGCTGCTTTACCAAATCATAGTTACAATCACCTGTTGACATCACATCAGATCACATCCTTATTTCTGCTCCGGTCACTGTTTCCGGAGTGTGTTGCGGGTCTGAATGACAGGAGAGGATGAAGATTTACAGATGAGATGAAGCTGAGCAGACACAACATCAGATATATCGTGTGTTCATGTTGTCTGCAATGAAAACCAAATCAAAGTCAATTTTGTAAAGCACTGCTTTCAATCTGTCCCAACTGTTTGAGATTTGGGGTTGTAAGAATTTTTAGATATCTGGATGAGAGACAAAAACAAGAAGCACATTTCTACAGTGTAAATATTGTAGTGTTGCTCATCCAGGCAGAGTCTTCAATCCGCAGTGATTTACAGTCTAATATGGTATTCATGGATGCGTTTATTCTCCTGCTCTGTCATTTATGTGTCATTATGTGATGAACGCACACACACACACACACACACACACACACACACACGTGGAGTGTCAGGCCTCTGGGTGATCTACTAGTGTTTACTGCTCATCTGTCTGCTGTCTCTCTATTCAACACTGATAAAGCAGACTGATGTTTATTCACTGCTGTTTTTATTTACACACACACACACACACACACACACACACACACGCACACACACCTTATTTTTACACCAGTTCAGAGAAAACACACAAAATACATATTTATTTTATTAAACTTCGTCTGTTTATATGTGGATTTTAGCTTTTTACACTTTTATTCTGTCTACATTCTGATCACACACACTAAACATTTATTTATTTATCTTTTGATGCCATATCATCAGCATTGGCTATATTCATGGCTAAACATATTCTAAATATACAATATTTGTATTTATATTTTAGGTTTATTTTACAGTTGCAATGCACATTAATAATTCTTATGTTACAATAATCACCCTAAAAATATTAAACTACTAATCAATACATAATAAATACAGGTTTAAACATTTCCTAATATATATATATATATATATATAAAATAAAAATAATAAATTACAGTTCATTCAGAAAGTGTTGATAGTGCTTAACTTTTTCCAAATGTCTTTATGTTCCAGTATTATTCCAAAATGGATTGAATTGATTGATTTCATCAACATTCTACACACAATCCCCCATAATGACAATGTGAAAACAGAGTTTTAGAAATTGTTCAGATTTATTAAGAATAAAACACCTGTATTATCAGATGTACATCAGTGTTCTCAGGCTTTGCTCAAGACTCTGTTGATGCTCTTTGGCAGTGATTACAGCCTCAAGTCTTGTTGAATATGATGCTCGAGCTCTGCACAGCTGTCTTTGGGAGTTTTGGCCCGTTCCTCTTTGCAGCACCTCTCAGGCTCTATCAGGTTGGATGGGTTGTGATGGTGTACAGCCATTTTCAGATCTCTCCAGAGATGTTCAATAGGATTTAGGTCTGGGCTCTGGCTGGGCCACTCGAGGACATTCCCCGAGTTGTTGTTGTGCTGCTTCATTGATATTCTGGCGGTGTGCTTTGGGTCATTGTCCTGCTGGAAGATGAAGCGTCGCCCCAGTCTGAGGTGGAGAGCACTCTTGTGCAGGTCTTCATTCAGGATGTCTCTGTACATCGCTGCATTCATCTTTCCCTCTATCCTGACTAGTCTTCCAGCTCCTGCTGCTGAAACACATCCACACAGCATGATGCCAACACCACCATGCTTCACTGTAGGGATGCTGTTAGCCTGCTGATGAGCGCCGCCTGCTGTTCTCCAAACGTAACGCCTGGCGTTCACTCCAAACAGTTCAGTTTGAGTCTCATCAGAGCAGAGAGTTTAGTTTCTGATGCTCTGAGAGTCCTTCAGATGGTGAACTCCAGGCGGGGAGTGTCTTCCGTCTGGCCGCTCTACCATACAGATGCCTGATTGGTGGATTGCTGCACAGATGGTTGTCCTTCTGTAAGGTTCTCCTCTCTCCACAGAAGAGCGCTGGAGCTCAGACAGAGTGACCATTGGGATCACCTGACTGAGGCTCTTCTCCCTCGATCACTCAGCTTAGATGTCCGGCCAGCTCTAGCAAGACTCCTGCTGGTTAAACATCTTCCACTTACGGATGATGGAGGCCGCTGTGCTCACTGGAGCTTTCAGAGCAGCAGAAATGTTTCTGTAAGCTTCCCCAGCCTTGTGCCTGGAGACAACCCTGTCTCGGAGGTCTACAGACAATTCCTTTGTCCTCATGCTTGGTTTGTGCTTTGACATACACAGTCAACCCTGGGCTCTTATATAGACAGGTGTAGCGTAATCAGATCATGTCCATCAGCTAAATTGAGCACAGGTGAACTCCAGTGAAGCTGCTGAAACATCTCCAGAATGATCAGTGGAGACAGAATGAACCTGAGCTCAAGTTAGAGCTTCACACCAAAGCCTGAGAACACTGATGTACATCTGATTTATCAGGTCTTTTATTCTTAATAAATCTGCAACATTTTCTAAAACTCTTTTTCCACATTGTCATTATGGGGGATTGTGTGTAGAATGTTGAGGAAATCAATCCATTTAATCCGTTCTGGAATAAGACTGGAACATAAACAAATGTGAAAAAAGTCAAGCGCTATCAGTACTTTTTTGGGTGCACTGTAAATCCCGGTTAAAATATATTGTTTCTTTGAATTGACAGTATTGAGTCATTTATTTAGTCATTTATTTATTAGTTTATTTATTCATTCATTCATTCATTTATTTATTTAGTCGTGTCATTTATGCAATGATAAAAAGATTTAAATCTAAACTCTAAAATATTAAATAATATTGTTAATAATAATCATAATTATTATTATTATTATTCCAACAATGTAAAAAACAAACAGAATTTTTAGATATTTAGATGGAAATTGCTACACGTTTCATTAGTTACATTTAGTCATTCATTGATATTTTTATTTATTTACTCATTTATTTAGTCATTTATTTATTTATTTATTATTTAGTCATTCATTTATTTATTTATTTACTCATTTATTTAGTCATTTATTTATTTATTATTTAGTCATTAATTTATTCATTTATTAATTCATTTATTTAGTAATTTGTTTATTTATTTATTTAGTCATTTATTTATTTACTCATTTATTTATTTATTTTTATTCATTTGTTTATTTGTTTAGTCATTCATTTATTCATTTATTTAGTCGTTTATTTATTTATCCATTTATTTACTCATTTATTTATTTACTTTTATTCATTTATTTATTTATTTAGGCATTTATTTATCCATTTATTTATTTATTTATCCATTTATTTACTCATTTATTTATTTATTTTTATTCATTTATTTATTTATTCATTCATTCATTTATATTTTATTCATTTGTTTACTCATTTATTTATTTACTTTTATTTATTTATTTATTTATTTATCCATTTATTTACTCATTTATTTATTTATTTTTATTCATTTATTTATTTATTCATTCATTCATTTATATTTTATTCATTTGTTTACTCATTTATTTATTTATTTATTATTCATTTATTTATTCATTTATTTGTTCATTCATTCATTTATGTATTTATTTTTTATTCATTTATTTATTTATTATGTATTTAGTCATTAATTTTTTGACTTTTTTAGATTTATTTATTTATTTAGTCTTTTATTTTTTTATTAATTAATTTATTTATTTTTATTAATGAGTTTATTTATTTATTCATTTATTTATTTATTTTTGATTCATTTATTTATTTATTAATTCATTCATTTATTTACTTTAGTCGTGTGATTTATGTAATGATAAAAATATTTAAATCTAAACTCTAAAATACTAAATAATAATAATAATAATTATTATTATACCAACAATGTAAAAAT